GGGAACTTCAACCTGTTTCGGTAGGTTTCATACATGGTACTTCTTTTTGGTTACGTTAAGACACGCCCTCACCGTGCTCTGTTTTGCGTCTCCGCTTAGGATTTTGCTCGCCAGAAGAAGGCGCATTTAGTAATCCCAATACCGGTTCACAGGTACTCGATTTTCTATGCAAAGCGTGTTGTTGATAAAGGTGAAGTTTAGCCTCTGAAAATAAATCCGACTTAATTAATGCTTAGTTTGGCTGGGGGGAAGGGGGAGGGCGGATTTGGCAATTATTTTTACCACCTCATGGATTCTTGATTGTCTGTGCATTCGCCTGTACTGTTGTTGGGGTTCAATTACCTTTTCCGGATTCTTATTGGATAAGGATGACTTGTACGGCCGCCCTAAACGGTAATGGGGACCGCCTGCAATAAATGTGACTTAACGCTAGATTCCGGAGTACTTGGCTTTGGGATTCAGGTGAGGGTTAGGTTTGGCTTTGTGTTTACTGTAGAATTTCCGTTTAGGGCAGAGCTAGTGTTAAGATTAAGATTTTGGTTTGGTTGTACGTCAGAGTAAAGGCTAGACTTGGGAGATTTTTCTCAAGGCGTTCCTATTCCCGTATCCTGCTTTGGACGGCTTGAAAAGTCATCCTTACCTCCTGTTGCTCTAGCAAACCTTCGAATTTAATTTCTTCCGTTCTGACCGTTAGGTGCACCGGGTCGCGCCACTTCTTTGACTCATTCTTCGGCAAAAGAAGTTAGTGTAGTGCACCTTGGGTATTTAAAACCCAATTCTTCTGTCTTACGGAAGTGGTGGGATTAGAGGTTTTATGGGTAGAAAAAATGAGTACAAAAAGTCGTAAAATTTTGTTGAAATAGCGACGGCGTTGAGCGCATGGATCGAAAGAAAGGTGCGAAAAACAAATCGAGCTTGAATCGAACCTAGAAACGTCGATTTTTATTTTTCAGCCCAAAACCCAGTAATGATGGACTTATTGAAGACTTTTTGTAATATTAAGCGTTTCTTATTAATAATAGAAAAATCGGGTATAAAATAGTCATATGTTGTTTAATATTATAATTTTGAAATTCCTGTGACGGGCTGCTATAAACAACCAGCTATGGTGTGGCCGGTCTACTTGAGGGCTAAATGGAAGCAACCCGTATATCACTTCTAACTCTCTGAGCTAAGATATGTGTATGTATCGTTGGGGGGTGCTCGCTGACCTTGGGCGAGGTCACTGAGGTACATTTTTTAATCATCACTATCGTGTTGAAGAAGCAGGAAGAAGGCCTAGGCATAAATACGCCTAATGAAACGGATATAGTAGTTATTTTAGTGTTTCTTTCAAGAAGGCCACTTCTCATCCTACGATTACCCATTCTCCTCATTTGGAATGCTCATTGAGGGCAAGGCCAAGGCTGTATAATCTTAATCGCGCACTACTGATGTAGTGGTTGTGCCGACTGAGAAAAAAGAATAAGCAGGAAAGTTTGGATGTTTATGTGGATTTCTCTTCTAACTGCCCTTCTTCTCCCCGGTTCAAGAAACACTTTGAATCTCTCGGTGGTGCGCACGCCCTCGCGCATGCCCAAAGCTCGTTGGAGGCCACGAATCCCTACACAAACTCCAATCCTGTCTCATCGGACCCTCAGCAGGACCCCAACCGGCGAACTCGTCTCGAGTACGTCCTCTCGCTCTCTTCTTTTGCTCTCTTTCTCTATGCATGTCCAGTGCCTCTTTCTGCAACCTTCAACTTGGTCAAGCAGACTACTGCCTGATCTACTTCCGCTTGCTTGAAAGCAAAGGCTTGCTGTCAGTGAGTCGTGGTAGTACGTACCTTTGAAGACTTGTTTGCTCAGAGCTGTTCGCGGGTGAATGTGGTTTACGGAAAGCCGTAGAAGTGAATTGGGGGGAATAAGGACTTAAATCGGCATCTAACCGGTTGGTTGGTTGGTAGCCCATATGCATCTAACCGGTCGGTGAAGATGCCCGCATTCTGCCGAGAAGTTTCTACTCTCCTCACCTGCCTCAATATTTGACTCCCTCCCTCCCTCGCTTGAGTTTTTCCAGTTTATGATTGTGTAAATCTGATCAGGCCTTCCACCAAGAAGTCTCAGTTATCGGAAAGAACTATTAGGAACTTAAGAGGAAACGCATACTTATGGAGATTGCCACTCCTACTCAATTCATTTCAATAGATATTTTTTATAAAGGAAATTTTTGCCATGAGTCCGAGCAGCCATGCCTGCCATTCCAGTCCTTACTTTGCCTAATATTATCTCCCGACTATTTATTCTCTGTTGTTGTAAGGGCTCTATGTTTGAGTTTCCGGTTTTTGTTCCGGAGTTAGGTCAAAACGCTGCTCACCGCTCCCACGCAATGGAGTATTCACGATCTCAGCGGAAGGGGTATACATCATTTTCTGAACGCACGCTAAACTCAGCGGTCATTGCCACCTGCGTATGCTGACTGACAGCAGTGAATTAATGGAAAAGAGGCATTCCAGTCTGCGTAGTCGTTTTGGGCAATACTTCGCAGTTCTGTGGAGTACGTACCGCCTGCGAGACTACTTTGTATACTTTTGTATAGTTTCCTCCTACAAACGTTTAATCTTACCTTGTATTATTGCAGACAAGAATATGCACGAACGCTTACTTTGTTAAAAATCAATCACGGTGGCGTTCCTCATGTCTCCCACCGCATTAACCACTTATTATTATTATTCGATTGACCCAATTATGAAAAAATCGCGGCCTCGACTGGAGTCGAACCCACACAGCAGGGAAGGCTTTTGCGCAGCCAACGCTCTACCA